AATTCGCCCGATGCTGTGATCACGTCGAGGGAAGGGGTTGAGGTTGGGGTGGGAGCCGTTGGGGCCGCAGGTGGGCACGGAGGTGCTCGAGAGGGGGATGTATGGGAGGATGGATGGTGGCGAGAATATGAAGGAGGGGGTGAGGAGCTTCGTGGAGAAGAGGAAGCCGGTTTGGAAGGACAGCAAGTTGTAGTAGGTTGGGTATCAGGGTTAGCTTTCCTTGTCTGTCGGGTTCCCTTACCTTGTGTCGCTCGTTACAGTGCGCCGGAAGATCCCCACGGCGCAGGTATATATGTTGCCTCAGGGCCGCAAGACAGACACCGTCATTATCACAAAATCACATTACATTTGGCCAGAGGATGGAGAACATATGAATATTGTAGCCGAGAACATCCTTATCACTCGGTCTATCTAAACAAGTACTGAAAATTGATCACCCCTGGTGAGTGATCTATTTTCAATTGGTGTCTCTCTTAACCGCTGAGAGGTTCGAATTATGCGTCCCCTTCAACCACTGGGCTGGGAGTGCCTGCAGGCTTAGGTTCCGCATCTGGCAGATCAAGGCTGACCATAGTCGTGTCCGGCGAAGGATTGAAGTAGGGCTCCGGCTCGGCAGGCCGGACCCATTCGGAGCGGCAGTATTGGTTGCATATATGCTGGTGGAAGAAGTTGTTGATGCCATTCACGCCCAGGTCGGTAACACCATACTCCCGGGTCAGGGAGAGGATCACGGGGTTAGAAAGGACGACCTTATTCCCGTAGACACCGCCCTGGAGGTCGCAGAGAAGGTATTCCCCTTGGGTGATGTGGTAGCTGAAGTCTAGTCAAACATGTTAGAGGGAGGCGCAGACGAGAGAAGATGGGGCGAGGGTTCTATGTACTTACGGCTGAGTGCCTGCATAATCAATCGCCACGGGTTGGTACCGTCGCCCCAGTAATTGTTTTTCCAGCCCGTGTTGCTGTTGAACTTTTCATAATTTGGGATGTAGGGCTCGCACAGGGCCCTCCGGCCGCCCCAGTTGTCATCGCCGTCGTTGAATTTCCACGCAGCAGGGACATTAACCTCGATGCGTTTATCCACCATCCTTAGTCGGTTAAAATGAGCCACGATTTCGGTGGCTTTGTCGACGGCCTTCGTGTCGTAAGTGAAGTAGTCCTCTTCCAACCTGGTGGCTGTGGACTTGAACCACTTCACAACACAAACCTCGCCCCGGCGCGGACCACTAGTGTAGCCCCCCCTCGCAAGCCAACGATACTTGGTGGAAGCGAAAGGGGCTTCCAACTGGCGATAGCTAACCGACCCACCACTGGAATGGTTGTAGTGAGCGTCTTCGGGCGCAGAGAGAAAGGGCGAGCCGTAGATGTTGACGCAGGCAGCGCATCGCGAGTTGCCCTCCCCAGCGGCCCACTGACTAGGCGAGAAGGACCGCTCGGAGCGGGTCCGGTTACAGCTAACGCAGCGGCGGCTCATGGTGGAAGACATATTGAATGGATGAGTATATAAAAGGAGTTGTCGCACTTGAGTTCGACTTAATGATTTGTTGGTCGAGAGTTGGGAACGGAGAAGGGTAACGGCTCGTCGATGACAAGTATTCATATTTATAAAGACGATGGGTTTTGTACATTGGACTTACCGATGTGTATTATTGTGCTAGGAAGTGACCAGGTCACGAGCCCTTTGTGGGCGCTTTGTGGCTGAACAGACTACACTGCTTGTTTTTTTATGGGAAATACGAATAGAGTCACCTAGCCGCTTCACTCGTTCTATCCCAACAGCTGTAGTTGACTCACATAGATTAATTTCAGAGTACCTCGACAGGATATTACAAACCAAAACAAACATGAATCCGTCAACCCTAATCAACCAGCCAACCTTTGACTTATACCCTACCTAGCCACCAACCCACCCTCTTCCAAACTCCCACCCAAACGCCCCCTTTTCAACCGCGAGTAAACATCCGCCAACCACCCCATACCATCCAATCTCTATCACCATCATCCCCTCCATGACGACAGCAGCACTTAACCAAGCCTCACACCCTCCCCCTCGCCAACTCCTGCCTCCTCACTTCCTCCCGAAACACATTCCCCGCCTCCCCCCCCTCCCCCATGGTCTGACTGGAGGTGGCGCTTGAGACGTAACAATATTGTTTTGCCCCTGGAGAGAAAACTGCCCCGCGACGCAGGCTTGACGTTCTCCTGGTGAGAGTACCGAGTCGTGGCAGGACATCCTCAGCGTCCACGAGTCCGGACCATGTCACAATTCCGGTCCGCAGACCGAAAGGGGT